ATCCTTGAAAGTGTTTTGCGCGAACAATAGATTATAAATAATACTTACTGAAAGTCACTCTTTTGTTTAATTACCACTAGTTCGGAAAAAAACCTCTGTCCTTGGAAGAACCAGCAAGAAACCCAGCGGGACTTTTTTTTTTAAATAACAGCTTACAATCATGTATGTTACACAAATTAACAACACAACAAATTAGAAATAGCTTGGTAGCGATCACCTCATTTCCAGGGGTTATTATCATCCATAAATTCCTTAATATTATAATAACCGTTTTTATACAAACTTAGTGTAATAAAGTTTTTGAACTTTTGTATTCCAGAAAATATACAAATTTTGTATATTTTCTGGAATTTTGTTGTAAAAGCGTATACATCGCCCCAAGAATGAATTACTGACTCGATGGAGTCGAGTAACTGGTACTACTAGCTTGTGTCTGTTCCTAGTGTTTACAGAATGAATATCACTTATTTTTGTAAAACTACTTTTATTTTTGTGTACGTACTACTACTACTTTTATTTTCATAAATGTATTGAGAGGCCAAAGTTAATATATTAATTTCCTTAAATTTTATCGCAGCGACTTTAGGCTTTAAATCATAAATTGCTCTTATGGCCCTCTTCTGTAAAACAAATATAATTTCAGTGTCAGCTGCGTGTCCCCATATCAAAATACCATACGAAATTATGCTATGGAAATAGCTAAAGTAAACTAGTCTAGCTGTTTCAACACTGGTTAGACTTCTAACCTTTTTACAGCATATGCTGCAGAACTAAGTCTGCTTGCTAGTTTTGATATATGGGGGCTCCATTGAAGCTTCGCGTCTAGTGTGATTCCAAGAAAAATTGTGGCAATTTTTAACAGTGGTAGAGCCACGCGGCAGCTTTTGATGTCGCACGGATGTGCTGGCTCGAACCGGGGTGGTACCACGACCTCACAGAAAACCAGCGTGAAGTAGAGGTTTACCTCTGCGTTTCGCTTGGTGAGTGCAGGTAGCCGGAGGCCCTTTTTACTGGAAATGAGGCATTCCATCTTAGTCCTCACGGGTGACAACGCATCTACATTTTGATTTGTAATAGATAGATGTAGATGTCTATGGGCCGCAGCAACCACTTACCATCAGGTGGACTGTGTGCGCGTTTGTCACCCTTATCCTATAAAAAAAAATCTACAAGACTCAGTTTCTCCCCATTTAAAATTACATTAGTATTTAATTGTTTGATATTTGGAGTCATGAATTTCATACATTTCGTTTTAGTGCCATTTAAATGCAAATTATTAACATTGAACCAATTTACTAATTTAGATATAGCATTATTTACTTCGTCATATTTTAATAATTGTCGACTTAATTTTAAAATTAAAGAAGTGTCATCTGCAAATAATACTATATCATGGTTATCCCCTACTATGTAGGTAAGTCATTAATGTATACAAGAAACAGAAAGGGGCCGAGAATATAGCCTTGAGGCACGCCCATTTGTATCATCGACCCGGAAGTGCTCATAATGACAACTTTTTGCGTTCTCTTACATAAATATGAAATAATTAATTTAAGAGCATCACTTCTTACACCGTAGTGTTGAAGTTTCCTGATTAATGTTTCATGGTGAACAAAATCGAAGGCCTTGGATAGGTCACAAAATACCCAAAGCATCCTGTGAATTCTCCCATGCATTAAAGATATATTTAATCAGCTCAACACCAGCATCGGTTGTCGTGCGACCCCTTGTGAACCTAAATTGATTTTTATGAAGTAAATTATTTATATTAAAGAAATTTAACTTAAGGGCAATAACGCATAGGTTTCAATCTTGGCGCATCACTATTGAATAACTCTCAATTATGTATCAGTATTTATAGAAAATCTGTTAACACTTGGCATAATGGGCATTGAGCGGCACGCGCGCTCTTTACCTTGCTTATTTGTATTCTAAGTTCTTAACAATCTTATCTATTGTTCCAAGTGGTTCCTTCTAAATATCACTCATTACTATATACTCTTTGGCGGGGTCTATAACTGTGACAAGTAACCGTTTCCGTCATAACCGTTCGGTTATGGCGGAACTTAAGGGATTAAAGTAAACTTTTTATAGTATTTAAAACATTTATTCTACTTCAAAGTGGGGGTGTTCAATATGGCTGATTTGAAAGCATCGACTGCTTCTTCACCGTACTGGAACTTTTGACCACGAAGATATTTCTTAATTTTAGGAAATGTAAAGAAATCGTTAGGGCTAAGGTCAGCATTGTATGGAAGATGTTAAAGAATTTCTACGTTTGCCTATTTCAAATACTAAATCGTTTGACCAAACGTGTGTGAGCTTGCGTGGTTATGGTGTAGGATGTTGCGTCGTTTAGGGGTTAGATTTCAGAAGTTCGGCGATTACTTGTGCTAAACAAACTGTTCTATACTACTCTGCATTAACCGTTCTACGATCTTCAAGTGCCATCGTCGCAACATGGTCGGTTTTCGCAATGAACGTGGCCACCATTTTATTTGAAGAGCTTCGAGAGCGAACAATTTTAGTCGGCTTGTGCGCGTCTTTGAAGATGTAGGCATAGAGCTAAGATTCGCCACCACTGATGATGTCATAGACGTGATTTGACTCTCCTCGGTTGAACCGTTGAAGAGGTTTTTTACACCATTTGACGTGGGTCGCCTTATGATCGTCGGAGAGCAAATGCGAGATCCAACGGCAAATTAGATCTCTCACACCAAGCGCGTCATGCAAGATCTTCTGAATAGTTGTGCCTGAGATACCTAATAATGCCTCTGTCTCTCGATATGTCACATGACGATTTTTGAGAATTAGTTTTCTCACAGCAACGATGTTATCTTCAGTGAAGTCGGATTTTGGACGTCCTCCACGAGATTTGTCACTAAGATTGGTATGTCTACTCTGGAAATTGAAATACCAGCATTCGATAGTCCTCAGACATAGGGCTTCATCACGGAACACAGAAATTAGCTCTTCGAAACACTGAAGCCGGATTAGACCTCAAGTTGTAGAAAATTATTGCACGGATATTTTCTTTAGTAAGTTTCATTTTCATACGTGACCTGACAGATTCAAAACGATGTTTTGGGATTCTAACTTTAAACAAATTTGAATAAGAACGGTAAATATGAAATACGATAAATTCAAAATTGCCGGTAAATATGAAAGCGAGAGAACTTAAAATGCATGCCAGGTATCACTAAGCGAAATGGTGGTGACATTAGAGTCGTCACAACTGCCGCTACTACTGTTTTCAACTACAACTGGATTGGGGCAGGTCTTCTGTGAATCTCTCTTGTCCTATCTCTTCTAGCAATTGTATGTCTTGTTTTAGCTGTTTCAGTAATTTACGTAATGTTGGTAAATGTTTACGAACTACGTGATACTCGTCAATTGTATGAAGTATTGCATATTTGTGAAAATCGTCAATAACTACATTTTAGGACGGCCAGACCCTTTTCCTTTACTTGGGGTCCCCCATACGCCTTGATTCATCTGTCCTTCCTTTTTAACCTTGGTTATAGCTAGACGAGATAGACCTTAAAAGATATTTAAATAATATAGTATATTAAAATCTTGATCAAATTTATATGGGATCACATGAGAAGCACCAGCTTTCAAATAAAATAATCATCAAAATCGGTTTATCTAGAAAAAAGTTCTGAAGTAACACACGCAAAAAAATACAGTCGAATTGAGTACCTCCTGCTTGTTTGAAGGTGGTTAAAATTCCATGTAATCACATTTAACCGACAGACTACGAGTATACCACATCTAAGTTTTACTCTATGACCACAAATTAATAAGAATTGGGGGAGGGGGGTGTGGTCTACGGCGTCCCAATGTCATAGTTAACCACGGCTACCTCCAGATTAAAATTATTAATAATTGTTCCGATCTACGAGTATGAGCATATACCATCTTGAAGTCTTGCAGTTGTATGCTTGGGTTCCGATATAATTTTATTAATTATAGGATCCTAAGCAGATGGCAGTACCCAGCCATCTTCTCTATTGAAATTAGAATGTTTATTGATTTCAATAGCCTCGCGAAACATTCTTGGAAGGAATCGGTGTTCTCAAGATCATCCCTGTTATTACATCAGACTTCATAAACCACAAATCCTCGAAAGAGAACACCGATGAAATTAAAAAAAAATACCATACCGATTTCAATAGAGATGGCTAAGTGTTACAATTTGCTTAGGGTTTCATAAATAATTCAATTAAATCCAATTGGATAGAATAACACTGTAAGGCTTCAAGACATTAAGCAGGTTCTGTATAGATCGGATCCAAAATTAATGTTTAAAAGCTGAAGGTTGCCTGAGTTAATTATGACATCAGGACATCAAACAATAATTTAAATAGTTAAACGCAAAAAAATAAGTGAAATTTGTTTTATTCATAGTCTATTTCTTCCATTAGGTCCTCAGAATCCTCTTCTCTGCCCTCAATGTCACGTAAATTGTCAAACGTACACCACACGTAATGTTGCACATACATTTATGTCATCTACGTGTATTGTACGTACCTTGCCTGGTTAAGTTGTCCGCGACATCCAAATTTCCGTTAACGCTTGGCAGGCTGGCCATATAACTGTCCTATGAATGCAAAAAAATATTGTTTCACAAACACACAAAGAATCGATTTAAACCTCGTTAGGGCCTAGAGATTAATAATAGATTAATAAACATATCAGTTCTTTTATCAGAGGTTATGGTCAATTTAAGTTAATAACTCTTTTTCTCAATTTTATCGAGCGGATGTACGCGAAGTAATTTTTTGCCAACTTTAATATAATGGACTTCCGCAAACTAACGCCTGATTCTATTAATTATCTTAATAACTCTATTGAAATCATTTTAATATCTATCTCTAATTATCTTAATAACTCTATTGAAATCATTTGAATATATTTAATATCCTATAGTTATTTTGATGCGATTCACTAAATTAATATCCCGCTGGATGGTTACGTCTTTTGACTTTCTCATAACAATGTTATGGATTAAAATAGTTTGTGTTCTTGCCTTAATGTCTTCCAGCATTTATGTAAGTAAAATATTTTAATTTTAAATGTTATTTCAAAGTGAAAATCTTCTTCTTTCTTTTCCCTGGCTATTGTATCAATTTAAGGACAAGGGTCAGCCCTCCTAGTAATCTTGCGCCTCATTGTGCGATCGTGGGTTGGCCCTTCTGACGTGTCAGGTCGTTTTTAGTGTTTGCAATCCGTACCAGCGCAGACGGTTTTCTCTAATTTTACTGTGCACCTTGGCAACCTTGAAACTACCCCGAATATAATAGTTTTCTTATTTTATCCGTTGTAGAAACGTTCTAGAAACGTAGCATTTTCATATCAGTGACGTGAATTTTCTGTTCATCCATCTTTCTCATCGCCCAACATTCAGATCCATATAGCAGACCTGGTCTTACTGCTCTTTTGTATACATTGCCCATAATTTTAATGGGCATACGGGAGTCGCATAGAATGCCAGACAGCCATCTCCATTTCAACCAAGCTGTTTGGGTTCTATTTTGTATGTGTCTTTCTATATATGCCTTTGGTGCTTCAATGGATCCGAGATACTTAAAATCCTCAACTCTCTTAAGAGTTCTGTCTACCTTCGATAGATGAACATGACATACCACCCATATTGGCATCAAAAAAGTTACAGTACATAAACTCAGTCTGCTCTGTATTGACTCTCATCCCTCTTCTTTCTAAATACTCCTGCCATACTGTCAGGTCTGTTTGTACTTCTGCCAACGATTCGGTTATAAGAACTACATCATCGGCGTATAAAAGTGATCACGGTGCTGAATTCTGAATGTCCACAGTGATATAGTCCATTATTAGATTGAATAGAAGAGGGCTTTGGGTCTAGCCCTGGCGAACCACCATTCCGACTTCAAATGGTTCACTTGTCCCTGGGCTGACCACTTTTGTTGTTACATTGTGGTACAGATCTTTAAGGAGCTCAATATAATGCTCCTGCACCAATTGCGCTCTTAGTGATTGTCAGATTAGTCCTCGAGGGACTCGGTTGAACGCCTTTTCAAGGTCAATGCAATTAAGGTGAAGATCTAGTTTGCCTGACTTGTACTTTTCCATGAGTATTTTCACCGAATGAAGTGCGTCTGTACTGCCCACGTCACTAGTGAATCCACACTGGTTCAGATTTTAAGGATCTGAGAAGTTAGTTTAATTGTTCTATGATTTCCACAGTCCGCAACGTTTTTTACGTGATAGAGCCATGCTGCAGCTATATTATGGTTGTAGCACGAATGGGTCGGCTCGACCGGGGAAGGACCACGCTCTCACAGAAAACCAGAGTAAAATAGCAGCTTAATGCTGCTGTTTCGTATGGTGAGTGTAGAGAACCGGAGACCCTTATTACTGGCAAAGAGGCATTTCATCTTAGTCCTCATGGGTGACAACGCATCTCCATCTTGAGTCTTTATTGAGGATAGATGTAGATGTCTATGGGTCACAGTAACCACTTACCATCAGGTGGACTGTGTGCTCGCTTGTCATCCGATCCTATAAAAAAAAACATCCCCTTTATTTTTGGCCTTCATATATGGTATTTTAGTGCTTATAAGGATTACGCTAAATAGGTTTGTCAGCCATGCTACGCCGGTATTTTGTTTGGTTATTTCGAAGTTTTGCTAATTTAAATATTTCTGCGTCTGATTTTGAGTTTTCTAATTCTTTTTAAAAGTGATCTTTGAACAATGCTTTTGTTATTGCAACACACTTCTTAGCTCTATTTTTATATTATTATTACAATATTATTACAATATAATAATATTGTATTCCAGTCGATCGCTGTCAATTTTTTTAAAGCTGCTATTTCTTGAAAGATTCTTTCTTTTCCATTAAAAGAGATTTGACATTCTCATCCCACCAAGTTGGATCTTTATTAAGGCGACACCACGAAAAAATGCACCTCCTTTCATCGAATAGTATAGGAGTATGACACGACTAACGAAACTAGAATTTTGATATAGGTAAATTCATGTCTTTATCTTGAGTTTGCTTGCTCAAAAACACGATTGTAAAATTTTGACTCGATCATAATAATTTGCGAAAACACCTCTAAAAAATCACTATAGTTGAAATTACAACGAAATCACTTAATCTATATGCTTGGAAACCACTCGAATACATTCATAACATCAATATTCGTAATTTACTTGCTCATTATTTTGATTACTAAAATCAATAATTTTTAAAAAATATTTTAAGATTCTGCGCGATTTCTAAGCGGTTTTAATCGCCGCGGGCGCTACGCAATTTTAGACCTTATGACGGCGTTTTTGAAGTTTTTATAGAAATTATGTTTTACTCGGGTTATTCCGGCGATAGCCCGCTTCAACGGTTTTCGATGTGTCGCCTTAATCATCAATTTTACTATCGTAACACCTAGGGTTGTTCTGGCGGTTTTTAGGCAAATCACGTGGAAGTCATTCTAGAGAGTTTTGCTGTCTTTTGTGGCTTTAAGTGTCTATTTCAAGTGTGTATCAACCTGTGCAGTAAATAAAGTGCCTTTAGCCTTGTGTATGTTATACTATTTTATGCGGGGTTTATATTTTTATACTTCTATTTTATACTCCAGTTTGACATTTTAAACAGGTTACAAGTAATCTGTTTTGGGTTGTTAGTGAAATCCCTGGTATAACTTTACAGTCCTTAAAATTGCGAAGATCAGATTTGTCACAAAGAAAAAGTCTATTGTTGAAACCGAACCACCACTTTTGTAGGTTATGAGGTGTTTATCCTTTTTTTTGGAAGAGTGTTAACGATCGGGAGATCGAATTGGGTCGCTAGATTTATTATATCCTGACCTTGGCTATAAGTGGTACGATTGAGTACTTGTCGTTGATGTGCCGTTATACTATAGTTGATAGTTTCTACCAATATCCCTGGATTTTGACACTTTCCATATAAGTTTTTGTATATAGCAGATGTTAATGTTTGGTGCATGTAATGTGTTTGCTAGTTCTTAGCTGCGTTCGGTCAGGGAGCCGATGTTACATGTAGCTTTACGCAAATTATTTGCGCTGCGTCTTGTTTCATCGCTTACAGGGGACGCCTTAGCATTTTTCGCTTGGAATCGTATCTAGTCGTCGCTTGAGAGGTACGGCCTAACTGTTATATTTTTTGTTTTATGTTGTGCCTTTATTCTAGGTGAATGTTTGGTTTTGGCAGTGTATTTTTACAGCCGGTTGCCACCTGACGCCAAGGCTGTCACCCCCTTCCAGAGTGAGGGCGCCGCTGTTGATTTGTCATGAGCTCTTTCGCCGCCGTCCCTTTCGTAGTGCTCCAGACTAAGCACTCAGCACTGCTCCCAACCGCAACTCCAAATATGTTGAAGCAGCTCGTAGCAGGGTTTTGATAACGTAGTTTCCTTTTCCGGCCTGTTGGTCCGCGGAAGGTAATTTATTTCCCTCCTTCGCGGCTGTGACACCGAGTGTTCCCCTATCCACTGCCTGGGGACGCGCTCTCTAGGTGTGCGGCACACGCGAGACCTTTCAAAGTCAAAATACTTTATTTTATTTACTATCGCAATAACCTTTTCTAATCGTGTAGAGGCGGTATAAGAATATTCTACTCCATAACGGTGTCGTAAAAGCAGACAGAGGTAAACTGAAACTGGACATGGGCAGCAGCACATTCTTGATAACAACTAAAAATTATAAAAAACTCCGGTTGCCAACCCCAAGCGGGTTAACAACTCTAAGAGTGGCAACTATGACAAAATATAAAATAGTTAAATTTTGCCATAGTTGGCATGTGTCATTTTGCCATAGTTGTTATAGTTTATTTAGGACTTTTATGGGCTTATATAGGCAATTAAATACTCTTTTCTGGCCAGAGCTGAACATAACATAACATTCTGCGCGCACTGCACTGATGCAGGTGCAGCAAGCACCGTTCACGCGCGCGCTGCGTGTGAACACCATGTCGAAGCGAACTGATTTACTTTCATGTTCGCTGAGTGGGCTCAGTAAAATGGCATATCATACTGTATCGTTGGCTATACTGTCGAATTAGGGTACTCACCCTGTAATGATTGTGTATGTTGTATGTGTGTGTGTAAATAAAATAAAAAAATAAAATAAAATAAGTTTTTTTTTGGAAAAGTTTAAAAATGCGCCATCGGACATGCATTTATCGAAAAAGCTAATTTCCTCCGCACACCACTCTAAGCAGGTGGGCAGATGAGCGCAGTTTCAGAACCTTCACATTGTCAAAGCTGTAATATATATTACCTATCTGTGGGAGCATGAGTTCTTTTTTAATGCTTATTCTGCCAGCAGTCAGTCGTCAGAGCCTCTTTCGTTAAATAACAGTGTGAATCATGAGAAGTTGACATTTGGAGAAAAAGTTGATACATATATGTATATGCAAGTTAGACTTGAAAAAATATTACCATTGCACCGGCCTAAAAACAAATCCTTTGCAAAGAGGGCCTGAAAATAATTTATTTTTATGTAATTCAATTGCCTTATATTTCAATAAATTCCCTTTATCCATGAGCGACTCAAATCGTCAACGACTAAGTTCTTTTTAGTCAGCATGATTCGTCACATCGAATATAAAACTAAAGTAAAATTGATGTTGCCCGAGGTAACTTTGACATCAGAACGTGGAACATTTCAGTCCCTTTGTGATGGATGCTTCAACTTCCTGCACTTGGAGCGACAGGAATTCAAATTACCTTAAAATTAAACGCGATCAAATTTGTAAAATTAGTTTTATTCAAACAGACATTTTATCTCTGTTTTTTCGATCGTATTGAACCCAGGGAGTAATTCAAGTCGCCAAGTGTTACCTTTGAACACGTTTTGAATTTTCATTCACGCTAACTAATGTGCGTTTGAATGTAAATTTTAGTCAATATGCACGACCACTTTGAGGATACTTCTATTGCTAGTGACTAAAGGAGCAAGAAAAAAACTTGCTCCTTTCGAAAATGCCGGCAAAACATTTTCAATTCTTCCGATGTTGTGGATGTTCATGAGCATTGGAAATCACTTACTATCCAGTGATGCGCCAGGCCAATTACGGAAAGACTGTAGTATCATATTATATATAAGGGCTAGGGACCATACTATTAGTATACTTAGGTTTTAGATGAAAACCAGAATCAAACTTTAAAGCCGTTAGAGACCTATTTTTGATAAACCATAAAAGGCGCACATTACTAAATACGTTTTTTCTTGGTACTTTGTAATAGTTTTAAGACAATTCTTTTTTTTGCTTTTTTGACTTCTTTTTGTAAAGTATTGATAAATATATTATTTCTTTTTCTACAAATGCGTGAAGTCATTTCAGGCTATCTAAGACTATACTGATGTTACTGTAATAAAAAAAATGTGTTTTTTTTAATTCACAGAGCTTGAAATTGATCTTCGAAAGAGTTGAAGTTACATACGTGGATACAAATTACTATGAATACGTCTTTGCAAACGTTACTCGCTATGGAAGACGTAGCGACTATTATCTAAATATTGAATTTAAAAGCATATACGCTGCCGACAACAATGTCACGGTTTGTACTTAAAATGAGGTTAAATTCACTTCTTTCTTTTCATTTCAATTCTTCATTTTTTCTTCTTATCTGTTAATCAACCCGCGAAAATACATTGCTGGAAATGGGCTTCTCTCGTGTTAGGAAGAATTTGTGATAACTGGCACGCTTCGCGTAAACAAGAAGGTTATACTCGTTATCTATCCAAAGTATCAAGATTTGGGTCTGGGTATTTTCCTTAGTCTAAGAGACTGTACTATGGAGATGCTTGAAATATGATATGCTTGAAAATTTTTAAATTTTTCAAACAAAAACTAAAAAATCTTAAAATTATGTCATTTGTAAGATAAAAATAAAATTTAACTTAAAAAAAATAGCAATATTATTTTTTTCACTGAAATAATAGGAGCTAGTGGTGTATCCATTCTTTCCAACTTTAACAGCTGAATACTCGGAAATCAATTCTTAAAAATTAATTTTTATTGTGTTTTTATTGATAATATGCCAAGATCTGTTTTTTATGTTTACATATAAAAAGGGTCTCAGTTAACAAAATTATATTTATTTAGTAACACAATATTTTTTCATGTTTTACAAGTATTATTGAAAAATATTGCCCTTATTTTCAGTAATACTCAACTTTTTGAAATTCAAAACGAGTTACTTGACTTCAGTTACTAGTTTAAAATTAAAGTGAACTATCCCCTCCCCCCCGTTCACTATGCTTAAATGCTATTTAAGGCTTTTAAATAGAACTAATTTATACCAGGTATTTTATCGCGTCTGCTGCTTGCGTTGTGTCGACTTGAGCAAACACTTTGCACTTGATAATACTTTTCTACAAAACTTGTTTCCACAGGTTCACATCTTATACTACGAATTTCGTCGGAACCAGTACAGGCGTTCGTTTATCGAGGGTCATTACAAGTTGTGCGATTTCCTCATTGACGATCCATATATTGGTGTATTTGTATCGGCAGTTGGCTTCGAATGTCCTGTGAAAGCTGTAAGATATCGTCCTTTATCATTTAATAAACATCAAATCTTCTTTTTCTTTATTACTTCATAAAAATTATATTTATGTATGTAAGATGAAGTGGCAATGGGCCGGCCATATAGCTTGAAGAACCGACAGCCGATGGGGAAAAAAGGTTTTCGAGTGGCGGCCTCATACCGGCGGACGAAGTGTAGGGCGTCCCCCCACTAGATGGAGTGACGACCTGGTAAGATATGCAGGAAGTCAATGGATGCAGGTGGTTCAGGACCGTGCTTTGTGGCATTCCTTGGGGGAGGCCTATGTTCAGCAGTGGACTTGTGAAGGGCTGTAATGATGATGATGAAAGATGATGCATTTATTATATTATATAGGTATAAGTATTCATTTATACCGGGTGTTAGTGAAACGTTCCTGAAAACGAAGACTGACGATAGTACTAACGATACCTTTGATGATGGGTCTTAAAAAAATTCGATCTCGAGGAAAAAAATCATCTTTTCACAACTTTTTATTAACTTTATTCACGCTCCATCATGTTAGTACAGCTAAATGAAACGATAATTTCATAAAAAAATCATGACAATATTTAAACATTAAACCAGCAGTGAAACTTAAAATAGAATATGCTGACAATGGGGTCAACATTCTCGCAGAGGCCGAACTCTTATCAAGCTCGGTGCGAAACAATGCCTACTCACTCTACCCTTCCCTTACACACACGCTTTGCCGCCGCCCGGCCGGCTCATGTCGCCTCGCGCAGAGGAATTTAAACATGTCAGCTTTGCCAACATGTGGGGAATTCCCAAAATTGCGGAGAATTTAAAGTTGGTTGGGGATTTTATGGGGACTGGTATTATGCGGGGAAAATACGGGGATTTTGAAAATCGATAGCCAGGGCCAAGTCAGAAACTTTTTTCAAAATATCTAAATACTTATCTTAACATTTTGTTAGGTACTCCCTTTTCTAATTATCTTCATTGCACCACATTTAATTTTCGGATTTATTTCGGCAACTTTTGTGTATCACTTAATGCTTTTCATTTTTCGATCTTTTAAATTTAAAGAAAAAAATGTTAGTTAAAAAGTTAATCTTATAAAGTTAGTTGAAAATTGTTTCATTTCTTAAAATAAAGTTGAGGGGAATTTGTGGGGATCTGTCGAAGTTTTGTCCGTAAATTGGGGAATTTGACACGAATTTTCGGGGAATTTGACAAATTCGTGTTGGCACGCTGCCATGTTGCACCGAAATTTGCCTACTAAGATTTGTTTGCCGGTGACATAAATATAAAAAATTATAAAACTTGCAAGTAATTTTTAATAATTTTGACGTAACTCTTTTTATATTCAAACTATTGGTCGGATTTGTGGCAGCGCTGTCGTCGCGCCACAAGCGAAACACATCGAAGCCTAAATTGCACTAACAAAGTTCCGAAGTTAAAGCAGCATATATAGAATAGCTCCGAACTACCAATCGGAGCCTTGGCAGCTCCTCAGGCAGCACACCTAGCCCGGCGCGAGATCTCCTCTTTTCCTTCCACTGGCTACAGATTAAATACGGAAAGTCAATTAAAATAAAGTAAAAGTATTATTTTTTACATAAATTCTGATAAATTAATTAACTGTCGATCATAATTGCAATTGATTTTAATAATTAAATTATTCAGTACCATTTCATTTCTATTTCCTTATACAAAATCAAAGAGAACGATGAAATAGTGTTTATAATTGTGTAAGTGAGTACTGAGTACCCAATTATGTACATTTATTAATTTCAATATAAGTTTTGTAGTAAAGAACTGCTTCTTGCGTCAGGGTATATTGATTGTGTAATTGTATTAAAAATGACAACCGTAACTTCCAAATTCCATATGAAGACTAGTCGTAGGGATAACTAAATTTATAAATTAAATAAACGTTGGTAATGTCATAATGGGGTTGTTATAAACTAATTTGCATAATTCCGCGTAAAGAAAGAAAATGATGTGTCCTGCCCAGTTTTGCGGAGCCTGCGAGGGCTGGCCGCTGCTTAGCGGCCAGCCGCCGCAGCTTCTCTGTGTGTCTCGTGTCTGTATTGCGTCTGTAGTCTGGTGTCTCGAGTCTACTTCACCTGAGGATGCCTCGTGTAGAGGCGAAACACGTGTCGTATTTTCGAGAGTGGTGTGTCGTGCCTAGTGTGATGGTGCTGGGGTGGTAGTGCTGGGATTGACGGTGACGGGTATAGTGCGCGCGATTGAGGGCGGGTGGGAGGTCCCCTTGGGAGGGTGGGAGGTCACCTTAAAACTAGGCAGCACATAATTTTCTTTCTTTACGCGGAATTAAGCAAATAAGTTTATAACAACTCCATTATAATAGATTTCCGCAAATTAACGCCTGATTCTATTAATGTCGTAACGGGTTAACGGTCTGTGGAATTGATCAGTGCTTCAAGGACGTTACGACGCATGAGGCATTTGTTTTGGCGGGATTGATTATTAATTTTAGTTTTAGAGACAGTTCCGTGTTGACTATCATGTGCGAGTGAGCGACAGTTCAATCGTTTTGTTTATTAAATTCTCGTTGTTATTATTCTTTTTGTTACGTTTTGTGTTTCTCGTTTTGTTTTAATAATGCCTAACGCATTAAAACGGCAACATGTTAATGAGCCTTGGAGAATCTCCTAATGGCCACGGAGGATTTAGATCAGTAAGCTGTTTCATACTTAATTTTTTTAATAACTTAGTACTGAACTCATCTGAAACGGTACATAACTGTATACATCAGAATAATAAACATACCTACACGATAGATAAAAAAGCATGTCTCTAACCTTGTTAACATTTCATTTAAGTATTTTTTTCATTAGCGGGGAATAGAACCAGGTATTTGATCTATTTAACCTGTGAATTCGAATTAAAGTGGCTAGGTGGAGACAAGCACAGTGCGAAAATAGTAGGTTAAGTGGATAAGTTAGATATTTAGACAAGTGTTGTAAATTATTAGGTATACCCTAGGCAGCTGATTGTAATTCCACTGTTGGTTTTATGTTTAAGTATTTTTATGGTTTTTTTTAATGAAATTATCGTTTCATTTAGCTGTACTAACATGATGGAATGCTTGCTTGAATAAAGTTATGAAAAGAAAACAGTTTTTAACTGGCTATCAAAATCTAGTTTAATATACTCTATAGACCGAAATACGAGTAGGTGCAATTCGTCCCCGATCGACAGGCAAGCCTGCGGTAAAGATTGCGGCGGGTTTACTCTCGGCTCTTGTTAGAGTTTGTTGAAGAAACGCTGACCATCGCGAGCCTGGGTAGCCATGATTTACCAATGAGCTTTACAGGTGAAACAGCAAGACCGCTATAAAGTTTGCCCGTCGATCATGGACTTTAGATAGAAAAGAAGCCACAGACATGACCCGGGAAATCCATCTTAGTCATCAGGGGTGACAATCTTATCGAGAACAATACACCTGCAATATTTTTCGTATGTCACCATGACGTGTATTAAAAAATTAAAATTTTACAGGCTATATACATCATGCCGAACGTAACTATTCCTATGGGAGATTTCCCCAACGTGTTTCCCTTTGAAAAAGGACGCATTGACGCTACCTTTGAAGTGACTGCGACTCGTAAACCATTGGTCGAATCAAAACTTTATCTTACTTTTAAAAATGAAGTTAAAAGCAAAAAGCGCGGATAAGTTTTTCAACCGTTACTAATTTTGCTTGTATAAGCTATTATTGGTTTTGTGTGAGTAGCATTCGGCATTAATTCCTGTTTTACATTGCTTAAGTAATTTTTTTTAAATAAATACACTGTGTTTATGAATAGATACTATTAATAATGTTATAAAGTTAAGATATCACATATTGTTACTTTCTTATAATAAACAAATAATGAATATGCGTGTCCAATGTGTTATTTTTGTTGCGTTTTAGCCTTGATTTAAACCAACGGTTCTTATCAATTTTGGCTGCCGCTTTTAATTAAATACAGGTGTACTTTGAATCTCACCGACCTATACCTAAAACGTAATTAATAGTCTTCCTAATTATTCAAACTTAGATCAAAAGTATTTTGTTGCTTTCTCCCTGGAAATAGAGCAACACGGGTAACGGCGGAACGGAGGGGCGTAGCCATACCTTTTTTTTGTTGAACTGTCATTTTTTGCGGGAGAAAATTAGCGCACACAAAACAATCGTCGGTCAATACAAACTTACATATAACAGTTAAAACAATTAACCAAAAATTTCACACATACAGATACATTATAATAGTATTGATTGGTGACAGCGACAACTCAGATACAGACTCGGATCAGTCGCTCGACCTATCTATATATATCAATCTATATATTACATAAAGCGTCTCCCACACACAAGCGGCTTGCGGTGGTGGCTAACCGCGAGCCGTGGCTCCAGCCGCTGCAACAATACACCACCGCGGTCGCAGCGGCAGCCTTATGCGTTATTCGCAATGGTGTCTGTGCTACGATTGGACGTCAGTAAACATGGTTAACCATGACGAAGTCTTATTATATCCAGCAATATTATCATATATTTTGTTTTTAATCCTAATGCTTTTGTAATCACGACGCGAATTATCAGAAAGTACTGCATAATTTGGCACTTTTTCTACTAAAATCTCTGAATTTAGCACCATTTTCACACGGTTCACGCGGCCTCACGGGGGGTCATGTCTCTATGGAGCCGATGCAAACGTCGGGCAAAATAAGCGAAACAGAGACAGCGTTATACGCTAGATAGAGAAATCACTATTGATCCATGCTCTGCATTATATTTCAATTACCGTTAAGGGATTTTTATTTTTGCATTTTAATATCTTTGGCACCTGTCCATTAAAATTATGTTTACTTATCTTATAAATTATAAACTATATATTTTGTAACATACATAACAAATAAAAGTTGTTTAATCCATGAATTATAAAGTATAAATTATACGATCCGATTATTTTTATGTCCGATTGAAATGGTTATTCTGTGCTACAAGCTCTGTAGCCAAAAATATAAATGTATCTATGGCTGTTGTGAAATAAAAACATAACCTGGATTATTACATAATATTTATAAAATTAAGAAAAGAAAAAGTTTCACAGTTCATTTTACATCAACAATGAATGTTTCAAATCGTTTTCAAATTAAATGGAGTTAGTTTTGCTTAAGTTTTCTAAGCCATATTCAAAACTTTTAAGGTCGATTTAATTTATTTCGTATTTCGTAGAATAATAACTTAAGTGTTGTGTGACTAGCCAGTAAATATTTAGTTTATGGTGATTTATTGGAGTCGTTTTACTTAATGAAGATTTTTAACGAATAATAATGGGTTATTGAAAACGGTGTGTTCTAAGATGCCTCTATAATCATCTAAAATTGAGTACCCAAGTTTATTTCTGTGTATCTACTGTCAATAATATATTTAAATCTCTATGAAAATAGTTTTATTTCTGAAAAACTATTAACCGTGTTCCATTCCAATTTTCTACATATGTATCAATGCTGTACAGGCCCTCAGTTGCCCCGACAAGGGTCGACTATCTCGGGGCCCATCAGCGGAACACTCGACGAGCAACCAAGGGTGGAGACCAATGGCCTTTTTTTTTTTTTTTTTTGCGGATGGAAAATCATCAAATGACGCCTTTCACTCTGGGTGGAGCGGAAGGGAGTGTCAGACTTTTACTGACTAAAAACCATCCGTGTTCCTTCAGTGCCCTTACGTTCCGGAGCCGCGGTATCTCTTTCGAACAGCCCGCAGCCCCGGCAGGCGTCGGCCCTTGCGGGCCCCTTCACGCTGCTGACAGCTCTTTGAGGCGCGCGTGGAACAAAACGCGCCGTCGACACGGCCTATCTTCGTTAGACGGACGGACGGCGAGCTACCCATTGCTCGCCGTCCACAGGCCCGCGCCTACGGTGGCCGGGGGCCACGACGTAGCCCCCGACGCCCGGGGCGTCTCCCGCGGCGGCCGGGAAGGAAAGCTGCTGCTCTCTCCTTCTCCCGCTCCGCCACCTCCTTCGCTAGCATCACTGCTTCGCAGAAGGTGGTGACGGCATCCCATTCCGTCTCGCTCCGGACCATGGCTTCGACCAGGGCCGGACGCGAGAGGTCGCCGCCGCCTATCGCCGCTACGAGGACACGGCGGTGCTCCGCCCAGGCAGGGCACACCTCCACGGTGTGCTCCACCGTGTCCTCCGGTCGATCCTCGCAGTGGAAGCACCCGGGCGTTTCCTCCCGCCCGATTCGGTGCAGGAACCTCCCGAACACACCGTGTCCGGTGAGGACCTGCGTCAGGCGGAAGGTGAGGACGCCGTGGCGTCTCTCAAGCCACTCCTCAAAGAGGGGTCTTATCGCTGCTATAGTGGCGTGCCCAGCACGGGGTTGCGACAGTCGCTCTCTCCATGTCGCCATGAGATCATGCCGGAAGTCTATCCGTTGCACGACAACTTGCCGCGGCAGCGGGGTTTCCCCCCGGCATAGTGCCTCCGCGCGCCATTCGTGCAGGCGCGCGAGGACTATCGCCTCCAGATCCCACGGCGGCAATCCGGCAAGGAGGCAAGCTGCCTCGCGGGAGATCGTGCGGTAGCCACGAACCATTCTCACGGCAACCACCTTTTGGGGCGCGTTCAGGTGGTGGACGGCAAGTCGCGCCAAACCACGCGCCCACACCGGGGCCCCGTAGAGGGCCATGGACCGCACAATCCCCGCGTAGAGCCTCCGGCAGGAGGCGTTTGGCCCCCCCAGGTTCGGCAGGAGCCGCCTGAAGGCAGCCCCGGTCCGTTCTAGTTTGGGAGCCAAACGTCGGAAGTGCTCAACGAAGTTCCATCGGCCGTCGAGGACGAGTCCTATGTACTTCAACGTCGACTCGACGCCGATGGATACCCCTCCTACCATCGCTGAGGATCCCGGTGGTGGCCTGTTCCGAGGACCATGGAAGTGCATGGCCTCGGACTTGTGCAGAGCCACCTCAAGACCCAGCTGCCGGATTCTCTCAACGACTATCGCAACCCCGCGTGTCATAGTTTCCGCCGCCGCCTCGTACGACCCCCCCTGTGCCAGTACCAGCGTGTCGTCAGCGTAGCAAACTACGCTGACGCCGGTAGGGAGGTCGGCGCGCAGCACCCAGTTGTAACCGATGTTCCACAGGGGCGGCCCCAGAACCGAACCCTGTGGGACACCGCACGACATCTCTCGCCGGTTCCACTCACCGTTGCGACCGGGGTAGATGACGGCCCTATCCGTCAGATAGTCCCCGACTATACGACGGAGATAGGTCGGCACCCGGTGATACCGGAGTGCCTCCCTAATGCAGCTCCAGGGCATGGAGTTGAAGGCGTTGGCGATGTCGAGAGATACCGCCAAAACAACCCCCCCCTGGCCACTGCATCCCCCGTCGTGAGGGCTCTCACGCGCATGATGGCGTCCACCGTAGAGCGCCTCTTGCGGAAACCAAACTGGTGTTCCGCAAGATCCGGCCCCGTCCCCGCAAGGTGCTCGGCGAGGCGGTTTGCAATGACTCTTTCAAAGAGCTTGCCCACCTCGTCGAGCAGCACCACGGGCCGGTATGCGGACGGAGAGTCCGCAGGGCGCCCCGGCTTCCGAATGAGGACCAGCTTCCCCGTCTTCCAACGAAGCGGGAATTGGCCTCTTTCCAAGCATGCGCTTAGGAGCCTCTCCAGTCGGGGCCCGAGAGCCTCCGAGGCCAGGACCCAGGCTTTGCCAGGCAAGCCATCGGGTCCTGGGGCGGTATTCCTGGCCTTGAGCCTACGTACCGCCACTCTCAGGTCTACCCCGGTCCCTTCCGGGATGCCGTCGTCGTCGTCCTGGTGGTCCGCTTCCGGCACCGCAGGTGGCGGAGCCATAGGCGGGGGCGGATGTTCCCCTCGCGCAGGAAACAGAGCGCTCACCACGTCCTCCACGAGCTGAGGCCGGAGACTCTGCGTCAGCGGGGGGGCCCAGGTGCGGAGTTTATCCCGCACCATCTTGTAAGGGCGCCCCCACGGATCTCTGTCGAGAGTCTCCAGCATCTCCTCACGGGCCCGATCCCGGGCCCGCATGATAGCCTCCCGGAGGGCGGTCTTCGCAGCTCTGTATCCCTCGTACAGCTCCGCCTCAATGGCTGCCGCATTCGGTGGACGAATGCGGAGCCTGCGATGCCTGGCGTACAGGTGCCGCGCGGCGACACACGCCTCGCGCAGAGACGTCAGCTCACGCGACCACCAATACACCTGACGCCGGGCGCTTCCTGGCCGGACGCGGGGCATTGCCACGTCACATATATCGGACATGGCCTCCTGGAACCACCCTGCCTCATCATTGACGTCGGCAGGCCTATCCGGTGATGATACCCAGGCCTGCACGATCGAGGCTTCCAGGAGGAGCTCCCGGTCCAGCTGCTTCAGCGCCCAACGCGGACCACTCGGGGCCTGTTGGACTGGCGTGCTCGAGGGCTGGGTGGAGACGTCAAACCGGATGTACCGGTGGTCGGAGTAGGTCTCCACCCCCTCCATCACTCGCCAGTCAATGGCACGCGGCGACAGAGCGGGGCTAGCGAACGAAATGTCCACCACCGACTCGCCCCGCATCCGCACACACGTGGGGACAGAACCCCGATTTAGGACGACCAGGCCTGTCTCCAGAGCCCAGTCTTCCACCATCCTACCCCGCACATCTGTACGACGAGAAC